GACCTGGAGAAGGTTCTTTCAGATGTGGCTGAAAAAGTACAGAAAACAACTGGGTTTTATTAAATCACAGTTTTTCCTTTCTGTTCTACTCTTTTCCACAAAGGATATTGTTGAACCCTAATAAAAAAGCAACTACCAGGATTAGTATTTATGACACCATAGTCATATTTTAATAACCTTTCAAGTGCACCTTGTCATCCAGAATAAAAAGAGTAAACTCTCCTCCTGCAGCAAACTTGTATCATGGCTCCCAACACCCAAATCTTAGCAGAGCAGATTTATTGAACTTACTTGGAAAAAAGATGGTTGGAGAAGAGGCAGGATTTTTTTGGGAGATGTTTCCCCCCTCCCCCATGCTTTGTAATAAACAGATGTTTATTTTTCTGATTCTATCATCTATAGTAAATGTGGAAAATAAAGGGAGATAAAAAGAAAATTTAAACCACCCATAAGGTGACCACCAAATGGTAACCGTTTTGAATTAAGCCTCATCACTTTGGTACAATCCCTTCCAGTTACTTATTCTACTTAAATATGTATTCCTTTGCACAGTTGATATTGCACAATTTTTAAAATTTTGTAGCTTCCCCTCCTTCCCATTAGTTCTAAGCCCATGTCATAAATTCATCTTTGTTGTAGGAATTTTCAGGGCTGAATTACATCCCATTTTATGGGTAGATCATAATTTATCCTAATCATCCCCTCCCCCCCCCTTTTTTGGACATTTAGGTCATTTCTAAATTTCTTGCTATTCTAAAACTATCACACACATTCCTGAAACTCTCTCTGCGTATCTCTGATTATTTCCTCAAGATAACTTCTTAGAATTTAAGGCATTAAAGACACATTGTTAAATTACCTTTCAGAAATACTGTGCGGGGTACCCTCCTCTTGCAAGATACGANTAGCCTTCATCCTAAAAGAGCTTCTGTTACAGCTGGGATGCGCTTTGGCTTCCCTTCAATCCCAGGACAGGTGGCCCATAAGTCTCTAACACCATCATCAGAGGACACTTCTCAAGTGATACTCAGTGGCGACAGAAAGGATCCATTATGTATGGAGCTGAGAGTTAGGGTGCCGGGTGGGAGTGGAGAGTAAATCTGAAATGCTAAGAGCTCCAGCCCCGCACATCAGGCCTATCCTGGGAAGATCAAGAGCTTGGTGAGTCTCACACATCCATTATGTTTTCCTTCTATTTTCTTTCCTTAAGGTGGTCGTTAATGCTCTCATAGGTGCCATACCTGCCATTCTGAATGTTTTGCTCGTCTGCCTCATTTTCTGGCTCATATTTTGTATCCTGGGAGTAAACTTGCTTTCTGGAAAATTTGGAAGATGCGTGAATGAAACAGACGTCTCGTACTTCATAAATGCGAGTGTTATTGCAAATCGAAGTCAATGTAAAATGGGAAATTTGTCGTGGGTCAACCTGCCAGTCAACTTTGACAATGTGGGAATGGCTTACCTCGCCCTGCTGCAGGTGGTAAGTGCTGCCAGCATGTTTTCCACTCTGAGGAGAGTCACACATTATTTCTCAACTAATAAAACGATCGTGACTCCTTGGAGATAATAGAATCACATCGCAATTCCTCGGGTGGGAGCAAAGCTCTCTGGAATTGCTCCGCACGCAGCATGTCTAACTTTATCATCTACTGAGCCTCAACCTCCAAGTGATGCCCCTGTCAGGGCCTGTACACCTCACCCTGTCCTCTAAGGAGCCTCATTCTCCGTAGCCCCA